CATCATTTTCTGCTCAAATCTGCTGACAGCCTGTTAGAAGATTGCAAACATTTTGCTATCTGGGAAGATTAAAATTTAATCTACATTGGTAGAAACGCGCATTAAAAGAATAGAATGAGTGCTCTAAACAGCATTCCAATTACAGACTTCAAAACAAGATTTGAAGCTTTGTAAAAGATGAAGGGTATTGATGTCATAGGGAACTATTTTGAAAGATGAAATATAATATTTTGTCATCTGAGATGTCTGTTTTTTATTGTTGAAGTCCGGAAAATTTGAGTCAGATCATATATATACATATACAGTACTTAAAAGAAAGGACAAAAAGTTTATATAGTCAAATTAGAAAGACATTTACTAGAAAAGAATTAAATGTACAAATTTTTTTTCGTTCAGGTATTTCGAACCTGTCTTCAGTGACACACACAGCTCCTATATTTGTAATAAATTTTATATTTCAAATTAATTTTTTACATCTAAAATATAGTAAATCTAATGATAAATTAAAAGTCGCTAATAGAGCCAGTGTGGATATTGGTGCACAGATAAATTTCTTTATTATCAATAAATAAAAAAAAGGGCTACGAGCCAGATACAATATAAAGAATATTTAATATTAATACAGACGTTTCGACGCCGATCGGGTCATTTTCAATGTAAACACAACATTACATAAGTTGTGGGAATATTGGGTCAGATTACAAAAACATATCGGTTATTTTCGTATTCCCTATTATTTGATGTGTGTAGTCTATATGTAAAATTAGCATCGTTTGACTGATGTGAAAGTGATCTCATCTTATTTTTTTTAAATCTACAATCTTGATTTATCGTAATGAAAGGTCCTCATCGATATGTGATGTAATAATTGAATTTACCAAAAGCTGAAATTGTGTTGCTCAATCTTATGTCTTTGGAATGTTGAGCGGGGAGCACAAGACTTTTGCATAACTCATGTGTTGCAATACGTAAAAAATTGAACCAATCAAAATCTTTCGTTTCCTTCTTTTCCATAAAATAAAGAACTCTGATTGGTTGAATTTTTTATGCCTTATATGTTATGCATTATGTAAAAGTTCGTTCTTTCCGCTTCATAAATGTTTAATTGATTGAAAGACCAGTGAAAAAAATAACAGCCAATCTGATAACAGGGTCGACATGCATAAATAAACGAATAAATTCATTTACACTTGAATCTTCGAATTTTTGGTCGAATGAAAGAAGGAAAAGGATATTCCGTGCAAATCATCAATAATTACGGTTCGTCTTATTTAGCAATATCGAAAAGGAAGAGAAGGAAAAATCGACGAGCGAAGTCGAGCGTCGTCTACCATTGATCGCGCGATTATTCGTAAACCAAACCGGCAAACGGGACAATATTATACATGTAGGTACAATAAATTCAATTGAGCATCCCGCAACGTAAAGAATCGTACGTTCGTAATGGGAACAAGCTCATTCATCCCGCATGAGACGGGACGTCACGTGACCTAACGCGCCAGAGCAGCGCGTCCTCGCATCGCATCGTCGAAGTCTTTGATGTGTGCTCATCACCGGCAATTAGCTGTCAATTCATGCGGCTGTACTTGTTTCGGAACGGCGGGACCGGCGAGACAGGCGATCCGCGATCCGAGAGATCCCCTTTCTCTCTTCGGCTTTGCGCGTCTCCTTTCCTCCTTGTCTTTGAAGCAAAGAGCGGCCAAGTGTTTGCTTACTTGTAATGTCTCTTTATTTGTACACTGAAAAAAATGCATGTAATTTTACATGGAAATTACATGTCTACGACCGGAAATTGTGTAATTTACATGTACACAATTTTCAATAATGCATTTTTTAATAACGACTGATGCATCAGAGATCAAATGTTCTTGCACGTAGCATGGTAAGTCTATCGGTCGCCGGCAGATATTAAATAACAGTATTTTATCGATCGAGTTAAACTCTCGTCAAGCGCGAAAAAAAAGATATTGGAGTCAAGGAAGCTGTAAAAGAGCAAAAAAGCTGTCTCTCTTTTTCGCTCTGAAAGCTACTTCTCTTGGAATTTATTGCATTGATAAATATAATTCTTTTTTCTAGATAAAATATATAAATATATAGGATATATAGAAAATATTTTTTTCTATTTCTAGAATAAAATATTCTCTAAAATGCATCAATATTTTATATTTTATTGTAAAATCGTCAATTCTAATCTTTGGTTTGATCTCGAGAATTTGGAAAGAAATTATATTTTCAAAATATTTCTTCGCTTTTGAAATTATTTCTCTTGAATATTTATCAAGTTAATAAAAATAATTCTTTTTTTTTTAAACAAGATATATAACAAATACTATATATAGAATATGTAGAAAATGTTTTTTCTCATTAGAATATAAAATATTTTAGAATAAACTTTTCTTTAATCTTTTTTATGTTTCAAAACCGACAATTTTAAATTTTGGTCTGATCTTGAGTTTGGAAAGAAATCGTTTTCTAGATACTTATACGAAGAATAAGTCTTTCTTATTAAAGGAAAATGTGTCAGTCTCGTTTATAAATGGAAATAATAGAAAAACAGTTAGTTTATACATTGTCGCGTAGAATAAAAATTTCATCGTCGATTTATGATCTTTCAGAATCTCTTGGCCATAAGAACAGGACACTCGTAAATTTTTTATTTGTAGTCTTTTGTTAAGGAAAGTAAAAAATTTACGAGTGTCCTGTTCTTATGGCCAAGAGATTCTGAAAGATCATAAATCGACGATGAAATTTTTATTGAAAAATTATCGAAATTAGAGTGAAGAATTTTAAAACGTTCTACGCGACAATGTATAAACTAACGGTTTTTCTATTATTTCCATTCATAGACGAGACTGACGCATTTTCTTTTAATAAACGGAAACGACAACGTCTCTTATGACAATGATTATTAATGAGAGATGACTAATGAGAGATAAACGTTGAACATTTCGTCTAGCAATCAAAACGCAGAGCGTTTTTTCGATGAAATCGTTCTTTTGACCTACGATCGAGATATAAGTATGTATGTATACGAGTACATTGTGTTTCGATTATTCTTATCTGTCGAATAAATTTAGATAAGAACTTTTGTAAATGCTAACGCGACGATGAACGTTTTTGATCGGCGTTTATTTTCCGCGCCAACGTTATCGGCGGAACTTCCACCCTCCCTCATAATCGGAAAAAGAATGTTAACGAACAGGTGACAGATTGGTGCGACTTAACGCTTGGACATATGGTATGAGACTTGTATTTTGTACCTAACGTAATCGAAGTAATCTGTGTCTCTCTCAAGTATTATTATTCAAATTACCGATCCGTACGAGGTTCATCTGTGATAAATATAAATCAACATATACTGAGAAAAAAATATCTTAAAAGAAATATTTCTTTGAAATTAAGATGTTTTTTTCTGAGTGTATCTGTTTATTTAACTTTGCTCCCTGCGTGATGAATGGTGGAAATAATTTGCACGTTTATAATAATTATAGATTTACTATGCGGACATTTATAGTAAAGTTTAGAGGATTACCGATCGGAAGAAAGACACATTTAAAATTAAGATTACGGTATTCATTCTTTCAGTAATTAAAGAAGAATTTTTTCAGATTAAAAATCTACACTGAAAAGAATTATATTATATCAACAGCATTATTTTAATCAATAGAAATAATCCTCTTTTCGGCCAAGAGAATCTTTGTGCTTAATAATACTAAATGCGAAATTTTATAAATTATTTCAATTTTATAAATTGCGTACCAATTTATTGGACTTGAAATGCAATCGCAAACTGAAGCTGAAATTAATGTTTCTAATTAAATTGATCGTCCATTTAATAGTGTGATGCTAATAAGTATCTTAAGAACCTGTAAATAATAAGTATAATACTATTTTAACTGAAAATAATTTTGTTAATTCATAATACTATTAATGAAACAAATAAAATTTTATTAAAACAAGAACATATCTTATTTGTTTCATAATGTTATTGTGACTTATTTGTATAGTGTTATTGTGATTTAATAAAATTATTTTCAATTAAAATAATGCTGTTAATTAATATAATGGCATTTTTTTCAGTGCATAATATATGTTATGTGCATTATAGATTTCAGTGCTGGTAATAATTATCAGAACGCAGTCCAAGTAAATTGCAACTGCTCTATTTCTTTAATTCAATGAAAACTTGTTGATACACTTTGCAAATAATAATAACGATCACAAATACTGATTATTTCTGTCGGCGACAAAATCTATAATCTTTTTTTCGTATAATGTAAACTTCTCGCACTTTATATATCAATTTACTTGGTATTCTCATACATAATACTTGAACTTCTTGGAATTTGAGTGAGTGTACTTTTAGCGATTATTTTATCGATTCAATACATGTTGTTTTCGACAGTAATGTCAAATAACAACAAAACAAAGATGACACGATTGAATGATAATTGTATTTCTTTTTTTTCTAATTGTTCTTTAAATAAAACGAAAGGTAAAAATGTGCGTCCAACTTATATTTTTATAGAAATAATATAATGTAAATAACTTCTTTACAGTAAGAATTGATCAGTGATCATATAAAGTATTAGACCTCAAAAATAAAGCACATCTAAAAAGTTTGATGCAAGATAAACGACAAAATTAATTCTGTGCCGGGATGCTTCTAAGACATGAAGAAAGACATTAAAATTCACTGAGTCACGGCGCAGGATGTAAGTCGCGAGCAGACCAGTACATACAGATGCAAATAAATGCAGCTCTCTTCCGTCTCTCGCGTACACCACCATGTGTGAAGGGTACATCAACAGCGATGATAGAATGACAGGACAGGCCGATCTCTATCAGCCCGTCGACGATAATCCGAATACTTTGTCTGGAATCATCGTAGATTGGCCGGCGGTTCCCTTCCTCTCACTCTTTCTCTCTTTCGCGGGACCAGCGAGATCCCTTAACGAAATCCCCCCCGGATGTCATTATAAAAGCCGGTGCGACCCGGCGCGCTGTTTGTCTTTCTTTGGCGACGATTCAGATCCTGACTTGTGCGCGCGAGATAAGCTATCATCACGGTCATCATGGTGCAGATAGTCGGCAAGTACCAATACGTGTCGAGCGAAAACTTCGAGAATTACATTAGGAGTCTTGACAAGGGTGACCTCGTCGACACGTTCCTGCAGACCATGCCGATTGTGGAGATCCAGCAGAACGATGATCAGTGGTACATCATAGTCACTATCAGCCAGGACAAGACTATCACCGTCACTTTTAAGCTTGGAGAGGTCTACGATGAGTATGTTTCATCTTCTCAGATCATCTATAAGGTAGGTCTCATCGAAAGAAAAATAGAATTACTTCAACCGTTGATTATTGCGCGAGAATCATATTACGTCATCAAATATGAATATTAAAATTAAAAATTAATACAATAGATTATTCTTCTATATTGGAATACAATGTAGGCTACGTTCAGCAGAATATTTATTTTTCAATTGTTGGAAATTTTCTCTTCGCGCTGATTGGATTATACTTTTCGATCTAAGGGAATAGTTCTATTTGAGTGAAGAAAACTTCCAATAGTTGCAAAATAAATATTTTACTGAATGCAACCAATGGCTCGTCTAAAGTTACCGAATATCTTCTTCCATGCAGCAAGGAAACTGCGAGATTCCGAGATTTGATATTCTAGAGAATAACGTTAGAAAGAATATTCTTCATGTGCAGAAAATTATTAGATAAAACAATTTTCGCATAATTATTGATTTTTCGCTTGACTCACGTTGATTTGCAAACTAAATACTGAGTCTTCTTTTTCTATTTCTCTTCTTCTGTTTTCCCTGTTTGATTTTCTGACCTCTTAAGGGTCATAGTACCATGCGTATCAATTTGCTTTATAGCTTCTTCGGGGACAGAAGCTTGCTTATTTTTTTTTCCCCAAAATCTGGTAGCAGGATTTCACTCTACAGAGTTTGGGGGGACCTACAGTTTAAGGCCGAATTCGACGAACGCGAAAAATCGTGTATATGGGATCGAACCCGGATCGATAGATCCACAGAGTTAATCGCACTGAGCGGCGAGCCACTCGACGCCTCTTCTTCTATTTCTCTCGTACAAAAGTGTGAGATAATCCAGTGATAATTGAAGGATACAAAGATCTAAGGACTCCAATTAAAAATTGGCCTGTTCTGAATGTTTATTTTGCAACTATTGGAAATTTTTTTCGTTGAAAGGTAGGACTATTCTTTTAAATCTAAAAAGTATAATCTAATCAGCACGAAAAAAGCTTTCAATCAGTTGCAAAATAAACCTTCTGCTGAATGCAACCATTATGTACTCTCTAAAACTTTTAAAGTGAATCTCATTATAGATTGAAAATTGAGAAACTCTTTCAAAACTGATCAATTTTTACTCTTTCTAAAGAATTTAGAGAGTATCTTACACGTTCTAACGTTATTATTTTTGCAATAAGTATAGTCGATTATTACATCGTTATGTATTCGTTTTATGTCGCAGAGCGTGACTACCAAGGAAGACAACGGTTTCAGAACGGAGACCCCCTTATCCGCAGATTTTATAGGGATCCGAGTTTACGAATTCACAGACACTGAAATGATTATGGTAAGTGTGATTTCAATAAAACAATAACAATGTTATATAAACAATGAAATATAAACGATCCTGTAAATGTACTGAGAAAAATGTCTAGCTGTATCTAGTTAAAAATGAACAAATCAGAGTTTGGTGATCAAATCTACTAGAATTCTAATTCAGATAATCGACATACTCTAATTGATATATAATCAGAATCTTCTGATTCGTCCAACCAGACACTTTTCTCAGTATGTGACACTGACGCAAGGTGACAAAGTGCACGAGTCTTACGCGTTTCTTCTTTTCTGTTTCAGTACCTATCCTCCAACAAGAGCGACGTTAAAGCCAAGCGTACATACAAAAGACTGTAAAGCCGGTTCCTAATTTAAAAATAGCAGTATATAATATCACACTCTATCATTATTAAAGAGACTGAAATGTACAAGAGTGCTTTTTTTCTTTTTGTCCACTTACTTCATTTCCCCTGAGATGAGAAGAGAGATGGCAAGGTGTCAATCAGGCAGGACAAGAGGATGTATATATAATGCTGGATATAACACTGTTCAAACGTAATATTTATTTATTCAATTATGAATTCTGAGGAAAAAAAGAATAAAATGGTGACAAATACGCGTACACAAGAAAGTCGGAATAACATGTATACGAAACGCGCATGTGAAACGCTAAGCTACGCTCCCTCGTTGATGCGGAGCTGCATTTTAATGCATATCATATCGAATATGTGCGTGTGTACAGGATACACATTCTCGAGAATCGCATATGAAAATGTACGAAAATACTACGATATACATTACATGTAACATAGATTTTTCTAATATTTTCGTATGCGATACTTTTCGAGAATAAGGCTCCTGATCGATATCGTGAGTTGCCTACACACTGGACTCGACGTATCCCTTTGCATTAAACGTATTCATCTTAAAAAGAGTTGCCGGTCGTTTTAATCCTTGATTTCATCGTGCTTGTGGGAAGGCTCATTTAACGCTCGCGTTGTGGGCGCACATAAAAAATATCGCGAGCATGTATCGATTCTGATAAAATAAGACGAAAGTATATTTCACGATCAGAGGTCAAACAAGATAAAAAAAAAGGGGGAAACCATTTTCGACCGAAGTTTCCACAGTATTAGACGTCGTCGAGCGCGCGCTCCAACAGTGGAAGTTCGAAACGCAAGAGAAAAAAAGATTGAGATTTGTGCGATGTACGAAAGCTATAAACGCGCGCGCATGCGACGACCATCCACATCGATGATCGGCGCTGAGAAAAGCAGGATCCAAATGTTTGATTAGAGAAGATTTTAAGATCAACCAAAAGATTATAATATATCAGAGAGACACAGTATGCCTTTGATTCCTTTTGATGAATTTTCTCTTTTTCATTGAACCTTTGGATTCCTTTTCTCTTTCTCCGTTCATATACATATATAAACTTCTTCTGGCTCCTCCAGTGCGTATTATTCGAATTTATTTAATATAGTACTGTAAGATATATCACATTAAACCATAGGGTGCTGTACACATAGATTAGATAGTATTATATTATCATGATTACGAGTCAGTATATATATCTCGCAATGAATTCAACTTCAAAAATAGGAACAAACAAGAATAAATATACGCTTCCCTCTCCTCCATTCCTTTTCTTTTTTGTGATTCGAGTAAAATTATGTCGCGAGTAATCGTTATCAATTATAATTGCGCATATAAAATTAAAAAATTGTAAAAAATCCATATATTTTATCGAGTTTCGTTAAAAGTTAAAGATTAACATACTGCCGTTATCGGAGCCGAGTCTATTTTCAGGAGCCGCCACGAGCACCATCTGAGCCCTCTCTCAGACAATCTCAGGCCCGCGGATCAGTTGAAAATAATGACGCATGAGAACGCATCCGAATTATATTTACATAACAAGACTATCGATCCTTATTACGATAAGGCAGCAGTTGTTAAAAGCAATGTTTAGGGTATGCCTCGTTCTTGTTAGACTAATATCTCTGTTACATATGTATGCATTCACGTAAGAACAATAAAAAATTTTTCGGTTTGACATGCATGTATAAATCCCTAAACACTACTCTAGTGGATGATGTCCCGACGCGCAGTCACGTTCTGTCCGTTAAACAATAATAAGAAGGAGAAACCTATGTGTCGGTTCACCCGCGACGACATGTAATTCCTAGGCCGACGTGTATTGTCGCGAAGCGGCGGACAGTTCGCAGCTTACCGATCGATTGTTCAATCGGCGATCAGCTGATTATCAATCGGCACGTTCACCGGTGATGCATCTTTTAGCGGTACGTCGTCCTCGGGCTTGTTCGTTGCTGTTATGACGGCGTCCTCCTTGGGAATTCCATTTTGCAATACCTTGGCCTCACTCGATATTCGCTTCGTCACAGTGGTGGAGGTCCTCAACGTAGACTTCGATGTCAGAGTTTTCTTTGTTGGCGAGGTCGCGGAAGCGTTTCCGGGTGATTTCCCAATTGATGTGCGAGTCTTTGCAGCACCAGTAGCTGTACCGATGGATGCGGAAGAGCAGCTTATTAACTGTCTCTTTGCTCTGTTTGTCGATCAACGGCAACTTCCCAGTAGCTGTGATCGTTTTACTTTCGCGTGGCTTGGTTGTGCCACCGGAAATCGGCGCGGTCTTGGGCCGTGATGCACCGTTAACGCCGGTTGTAGGCTGCTTTAACATCGATGTAGTTTTAGTACTTGAAGTCGCAGACGCGGGTCTTGGTTTTGACGTTACGTTGGATGTTGATGTTTTTGTAGCCGTTGACGTTTTGACCAGTGTCTTTGCGGTTGTGCTAGTGGTTGTTGGTTTAATAGTGATGCCCGCTGGTTTTGTGGTGGCGGGTTTACTGACCGATTTCGTGTCACCGCTCACCGTTGATTTCTTCTCGATCGATGCTGGACTACTCACTTTCGACGAGGTAGTCGTGGTGGATTTTAGTCTCATTGTACCGGATCGTGGAGAAGCGCTGGTTCTTGTAGCTGTTGTACTTTTGGAAGTCACCGTTGTCTTTGTGGTAGTGGTTTTACCGTTAGTACTTGAGATTGAGACTGTCGTTTTAGTTGATCCTTCCAATTGCTTAGGACGAGTGGCGGTACTCGTAGCAGATTTTCTCACAGTTGATTGTGATGCCGGTAATGACGTCGGAGTTGTTCGCATGGTCATACTGATCGCTTTAGAGGGCGAGGTTGGCGATTTCGTTGCTGTTTTCGTTGTTGTTTTCGTCGTGGTAGTTTTCATTGGACGTTTCGCGCTCGTTGTAGTGGTCGTCTTCGCTTTCGAGCTTGCAATGGCATACTTGCGCGACTTCCGTAACTTCTTTTGACTTGTCTATCGTTGAGATATCTTCAAGAACTTCTACAGTTTTTTGCGATTCAATCTCTTCCTGTTTCGGAGGAATATTTTCAGAAGTAACTTCTTCCTGCAATACCTCATCAACATTAGCCGATACAAATTCCGCAGCTTTTTCTCCTATTTGCTCTTGCTCAATTGGCTCATCAGTTAGTATTGTTATCGGCACAGATTCTTCAAACATCTGGTTTTTGTGTTGTAGCTCCTCCTCCACAAAACTAGATTTGTGTATCGAATCAGATGGTTTTAATTCGGTTGTACTGTCCGGTTCGAGGTCATTTTTATCGCTGTCTTTGTCTTTATTACACAATTTTTCGATATCTTCTTGTTTTTTACTTTCAAAGAAGGGATCATCTTTGTATATATCACAATCGGAATTTTCAGTGTGTAGCATCGCCTTTTCTGTTTTACAATAATCTGTCCAATCAGTAGATTGGTTTGACTGATTTTCAGTATCGATCAGTGGTTCAATAAGATTTTCCAATTTTTTAACACTATTTTCAAGATTAACAGCGCAATAGCCTAGCTGTGTCTGTAACATTTCGTCTGGCTCCGTGTGTTCTGAACTCACTAATTCCGATAACAACTTCTGTTCCGAGAGATAATGTTGTGCGACATGTATTGCGTTAAAATCTGAATGATTCGTTGAATCTGGAAGATTTTTCGGCACTTCGGATTCCACATTTTCAGTTTCTAATATTTTTGCACTATTATCCAACGACCTCATTATGAAAGCCTGCGCGTCTTCAGCATCTTCATTATCTTCTTTTTTACATAAATTTTTGTCCTCTTCTGTGTCAGAGGAATTTTCTATGCCGTAAACTTCTTTGAAGGCTTCCCTGTATTCTTTTGGGACGTTTTCATCGGATTCATATCCGCGTATGTCTATTCCTGGTATATCATTGGTTACCTTTTTCGCAGGACAGCTGAGTACTACTTCATGCGAGAACGAATAGTTGTTATCAAATGACAACAAACTTTCCTTTTCATTCATCTTCGTTTCAGAGTTAGTAGTTTCGGAACTTACAGATACAGAATCATCTGGAGGCTGTGGTGTTGACGCGCATAAGACATCGATCGAATTCTTGTCCTCCGAAGAAGGTGTGTTCGGACGATCCTCGTCGGATGCAATCTTCGTAGATGGCTCGGGTGAACGCGGTGGTGTATTCGCTTGTTCAGCACCATCTGAACTATCGTCCAATATGTGAATGGCATTCAAATCAACTTTAAATTCGAACGCTTTGAAGTTACTTGGAGTTAACGATACAGTCATGGGATCATTCTTGGTGATGACATCGCTATCTTCCAAGTCGGAACCCGCATCATCATGCGCCTTTTCGTTCCACTGAGAAGAGACATCCGTCTGCCACTGTGAGGTAGACATTACATGCATCATGGATTCATCATCACCCATTTCGGCTTTAGTTGACGAAATTTCGGATATGTCCAAACTCTGCGAACTATTATTCTGTAGCTCTGCATTTTCGTCATGTGTTTCTTCGCCCATCTCCTTTGGTCGATGAGAGAATTCCTTGTCGAATTCACTCTGGCTCGGTACACGAATATCATCCATGGTCTGTGTTGTTTTCAGAGGAGAGCCACTAATGGCAAAATCCCGCAAGTGTGTGTTGCTTCTGTTGCATACTAACGGTGGTGATAACGGCACGAACTCGGCTGCCTCCGGATTCAATTGGAAATCCATATTGTTCTGTTCTTTCTTTTCTTCCTGTAGATCTAGATCTAGGAAAATCTGTTTCTTTCCCAAGTCGATCAACTTTGCGTTGCTGAACTGAAAACGCAATGGTATTATTCGAAATATGTGCTCTTACACTGAATAATAAATATTTAACAATGAAGAAAAACAACAAGATAGACTTACATCGATGCTAAGCTCAGGCAAGAAACTATTCACTGAGTCTTCGCATTTGATATCGTTCTCTGGTTCCGAAGTCTGAACTTCCAAGCTAGCATCCGCGACAGACTCGGGATTCTCCTGTGCACTTTGCTCCTCAACGTCTTTGCGGGATTCGTCTGCTGCCGTAACAGTTGTCACTGCAGATT